GTTTTGTTCTTTGTGTTCGTGTAAATTACACATATGAGTGATAGTGGATTAGAGGATTTTCTAGGCAAACTCAAGAAACTTAGAAGCACAGAATTTTCAGAAAATCAGTATAAAACTCAAAGCTACTGCAATATGGCAATGACAAACGAGCAATTGAATGCTATTATAGAAGGCGCAGTCTCAAGCGCACCCGCCTTGCAAGAACAAAGCTTCAATAAAAAATTGCAAGATATTAAAGAACGCTTAGGTAGTGTGAATATCGGCACACCTGAAGTAGAAACATATAGAAGTGCCGAAATTAGAGCAAGTCTCGTGTGCAAAGAGACTTTAGATATTATGAAGTCCCTGCCGGACTTCGAGGGTAGAAATGTGACATACGTCTAATGGAGTAAAGCGGCACATACCGCATACAAAGTGTACGAAAGATATGAGGGTAGTTCGAAACATTTCCAAGCTTTAGGCATATTGAGGAACAAAATAAATGGTTCAGCTGATTTGATACTTTCCTCTTTTGACACACCTCTCAATTTTAAGGCCACAATCAACCGGACCAACGACCAGTAAATCTGATAAAGCAAGAAAATCAAAGCGCTCCGTCTCATAGACAAATTCAGAACAATCAGTGGAATCAACCAAGAGGATTACGTATACCCAACGGTAGCTGACGAGGAAGTACAAGATATAGACGACGACCTCACGTAATACGACCAAGTCAATTTTTTAGGCATAATTCCATGCTCCCGTTCATAGAAAGGGAAATCGCAGCGAGAAAAATTAAACTTTTGATAGACACGGGGGCTTCCAAGAACTATATTAAACCTTTAAAAGAGTTAAACAAATATTATTTCCGTAAATAAACCATTTCATGTGAAGTCAATCCATGGTTATAACCCTATGAACAAAAAGTGCGTGATGAACCTCTTGAATACAAATACGACATTCTTCTTGTTACCAAACCTCACAACATTTGACGAATAATTGGACTTCAACCTCTTAAGCAAACTAACGTTGTACTTGAGCAAAAAAAAAACAACAAGTAAGAGGTTCTAGTCGGGATCCCGACTAGAGGATACCCTGAACCCTCTTCCTCCAACACCAAATGCAGCTCACGCTACGCACTCGTTTGCTTTAGTAATAATAAAAAAAAATAAAAAAAAATTGTTCCCTTGGCATGGTTGGAACTCGCAACTAACCGCACCACTTACCGCTGCATGTACTCAAGGTCCACACCAATAATTGAGCTTTAATGAGAAAAAAACCAATTTAAATAACAGCACAGAAAGCAATACAATCGCAATTGCAATGCTGTTGATAGCATTCAAAGCAAACACGCATGAATGTGTGTGTGTGTACATGTATACAGAAATTCTTGGAATTTGCGCAGCAATTATAATGACATGATGACAACACGTGCGCACATAACTTTTGTGTTTCTTAACCGAACTTAATGAAATTTTCGACAGTACATCTTATTGTAGAATAGAATAAAGAATATTTGTGTATTCTCAAAAAGTCAATTGCATATAAATTGTGGCTTAAATTGATGGGCAATACAAGTTGGATAACTAATTTGATTTATAGCTTTTTGGTGGTAGCGGGGAGGTGGCGATAGCTTTAAAATGAAAGATACTTGATATATATATACTATTCTAGAAGCTACATGTCAGGTTTGGTGACTCTAGCTCATATTATTTGCCTAAATTTCTGAAAAAACAGGATTTCGATATCGATTTTTATCGATTACTTGGAAACGGGCCAAGTTATCGAATATCGGAAACAAACTCGATCTGCGCGGGCACTAGGAGGACCTACAGCCAAAATTTCAAGTCTCTAGCTCTTATTGGTTCTGATATCCTTGCGTTCATACATACGGACGGGCAGACGGACGGACGGACAGACAGACAGACGGACATGGCTAGATCGACTCGGCTATTGTTGCTGATCAAGAATATATATACTTTATGGAGTCGGAGATGCTTCCTTCTGCCTGTTACATACATTTGCACAAGTACAATATACCCTGTTTACCTATTTTTAATGGGTTCAGGGTTTAAAAATCTAATAACTAACAGCGGTTCTGAGGTAATCCGATTTGTAAAATGTTCAAACGTGAATTTTACAAAAGTTGAGGATATAGAAGTACCCCAAGAGATTAAAGAAAAATTCCAACTAATGTTAGAAAACCGAACGGGTATATTTGCAGAACCAAACGAGGCCCTTCCATTCAACACTAATATCATTGGTACTATCCGGACAGAGAACGAAGACCCCATATATTCAAAATTGTACCCATACCCGATGAGCGTTTCCGATTTTGTAAATGAAGGAACACAAGCCATGTTAAGAGACGGTATAATCCGACCATCTCGGTCACCCTATAACCACCCCGTTTAGGTTAAGCTGTTAAGCTTTCATTGACGAACACGATGCCCAAATCTTTTACAAGCCAGGAAAAGAGAACTATGTACGTCGCTGATGCGCTGTGCCGACAGCACATCCATACGATAGAAGAGGATGCCAGTGCGATATACACTACACCTACACTGTCGAAAAGACAGACAAATCAAATAATAATAGAAGAAAGCGGAACTGCATCAGTTAAACCGGTCACTATGTTTGGTGAAAAAACTCAAAATCTCTTATATTTCTCAGGTAGAGAAACACTATGTGACGTGGTCAAGAAAGACGTAGTCAACGCAATTTTACTACCAATACAGGCATTCATTCAGCACAAATTAATAGAGACATTCCCGACAACCACATTCCGCTACACGGACCGCATGGTAACTGACTTGGACAAAAACGAACAAAAAGAAATTACTGTCCCAGAATATAATAGGGCTCATAGAGCCGCCCAGGAAAACGTGAAACAAATTCTGCAGAATTATATTTATCCAAAAATGACTCATATGGCAAATGAGGTCATTGCAAATTGTAAAATCAAAGTCAAAGGGCAAAATATTATCGTCACCCCCAAAAACAGATTCTTGGGGAAACGCCCATTCCTTCATACACAGGCGAAATATTGCATATTGACATATTTTTAACCGACAAGAAATATTTTCTCATTTGCGTAGACAAATTCTCAAAATTTTCAATTGTCCAGCCAATCGCTTCCAGACAAATAGCAAGTGTGCAAGCCGCAATCTTACAGCTTATGAATTTCTATCTTCGAACAAAAACAATATATTGCGACAATGAGCCATATATTAAGTCCGAGTAACCGATTTAATGTGCAAATTGTTAACGCACCACCACTTCGTAGTATATATATGTATATAGCCATAGAATACAACAGAATCATTCACTCAGTCACAAATAAACGACCTATTGACGTAATTCATTAATCGACCACTGAGTTCAACGCAGAAATTAGAGATTAAGTCCTAAATGCACAGAACATCCAGTTACAAAGATAAGACAAGACAAGACAAACCCGAAATTTCCAGGTAGGAGACAAGGTCCTCGTAAAATCAAACAAGAGATTAGGAAATAAACTTACAACTTTGTACACAGAAGAAACAGTAGAATCAGACTTGGGGACCATAGTAATTTGTTAGGCACCGCTTTAAAATTTGCAGCCAGCACTCCAGATTTCCACGACTTCGAGAACATTAAATTCACACAGAAAGAGCTCATAGAATCAGAAAATAGGCAGATAACTATTAACACAAGAACAAATAAACTAACTAACAAGCGCAGTAAATATTTTAAGTAAAAGATGCAAAAGCAAAACAAATGAATACAGAGCATTTATACGAAGCCTTTCTTTCAAGAAATAGGATAATTAATTCTGAACTCGAAGCCCTTATGCTATCGGTTACTCTTACAAAAATTGGAATAATCAACCACGCGATTTTAGACACCAATGATTAACAAAATATTATCAATGAACATTCTATCAATATTAAAATTACAAACCTAATGGAAGAAGCCCAAATTAAAGTTTTATTAAACAAGAATTTTTTACACTTGATAATAAAATACCCTAAGCCTAACTTAGCATGTAAATAATAATCTTGCACCCAATGGCACCAGTCTTAACTTTGTCGAAAACAACAACATAGCTGAATGCGGTAACCAGGTAGTGCCGATTTGGAAACTGCAGCGCTGCCCTTACAACGACATTCTGTACAAAATTGCCCTACACAACATGCGCACAACAACTTCACTCGGGAGGCACCGCACACTGTACCACTCGCCCCAGCCACCTTGAGCCGTTAACGTGCCAACGTGACCTAGCGCCCAGCAACAAAGAAGCTGCCAAGCCGATCACGAATAGCCGGCATGATAATAGTGCAAGGTCAGCATCATCTGCGGATATTGCCCAATGACAGTGCCAGAAGCGCAACCTTCAGTCAGCGACAATGTTGCGGGCAATGCTCTGCGAAGCAAGCAGCTGCTATCCGACATCATGCCCGAGTCGCCGGGTCAGCACTTCTAGGGTATATGGCTAGCTTTGGTTATAAGATTTTATGTACCTAGATTTCAATTGAATTTTGGAAATAACGCGCCGGTAGCTACGCTGTTGCAAAGTCTTCTCACTTGCGCAACACTGTGCAACTTAAATAATTAATAACCTACTTTAGAAAAGGTTTAACTTATATGCGTTTTACGGGCCATTTCCCTGAACTAAGATATTTTAAAGATATGGTGAAAACCTAATTTTGCAACCCCAAAGCTTACCCATATTATAAGCTGAAATTAAAAAACAAATGAATGTAGATAGTAAATAATTTCATTTTTTTCAATCCTGTATTAAAGTTTATTTCTGTTTGTGGATCCATGTACCAAAATTCGACGCTAAGTCACGTCGTTTATTTAAGGAACATATATGCATTTAATAGTAAGTGATTCCGGCTCCGGAACTATGTTCCAAAAATCGATTCAAAGTGACCGATGCTAACTTGACGCACGTCTAGTACAACTCGTTATTGAAGTTCATATTATAAATCTGGTTGATAGGAGTTAAAGCTAAATTTGTATACATATTATATACGTTAATTTTTAGATGTTTTACATTTATTCATAATTTATATTGAATCGCGCACTATTAAATATAACCTAGTACCATCCAACAAAACTAAATCCTTTCTGAATATACAAGGAATAAATATATACAAACCTACATATGCGTATAAAAATTAAGTAATACTGACTAAAGATACGGATTAACAAGATGTATGTATGCAAGCGTTATAATTTATAAAAGGCCCTTGCAGGCATAGGCAAAATGAAAAAATATACAATATTTTCCATATACCAACGTACATATGTACATACATAACTTAATATTCGAACGTAGTTTTTATTAAAGCTACTCGATATTCGGACTCGGCCATCTCCGCCATGACCTGCAAAATACGACGCAACTCTTAAAATAACTATGTTATTTTACCGTTAATTATATATCGCTAACAAATTGTAAATTATCTGCAAGGGTATAAAAAAGGAAACAAGTACATACGTATATGTATAATAAACTTTTATTTCAGATCAGTCGATATTTTGGATAACTCAACTTAAGTGCTGGTATAAGTCACGTCAGTGCATCGCAACGTTAAATTTACACCTTGTGATAAATTTTGATAGGTGTAAACCATTAAAGTTTATAATAATTTTGAATGCAATGGACAGTGCAGGCGCCGGTCGGCGGCGAAACAATATATGCGTTAATGCTGAGGATAATGCGCTCGATCAAATTACGAAAGAGGTACGACTGAAACAAATGAATTGTTAATTAAGTGCATATTTTGTAGTTATTATTCATAGGTGCCTAGCTATAAGCACTAACCGTCGAACTTTGTGCAAAAGAGCAAGATCGCCGATCATTTTAGTAATTCAAATGGATTAATTGCTTTGATTTCATCTCACTTGTCTAAATGATCGCGTAAATGTATAAATGGTTCAATTTTTGCACTACAACAGAACACACACAGAAGTATTGGCACAGTAAGCATTTTCTACTTTGCACCCATTTTGCATCCGTTTTTGATAACAAAAATCTATCCAAACTAATTTTCCTGTATAAACCAGTTAATTTCCTACAAAAATCAGTTTAAGTTTTGCAACCAGAACATAACATTATTTTTATTAAACTATTTACATAAAAAGTGGCACGTTTTCCTGCCAGAAAAGTATTGGCACACTTAGTTTTTTACTCGATTTATTTATATGCTTTTACCCATCTGGCAACGCTATTAGCAGAACATATGTTGCTACCTACCGTTATTTGAAATCAGATATTTGTCGAGTTCAGACTTGCATTTTGTCCCAAACAATAAAAAAAAGACAAATATGAATCCAACACAAAAAGAAACCAATGAATTTTTTTTTTTTTTTATTTAATAAGTGGTTTGTAAGGACTCTTTTGCCTTATGCACCATTTGATGTCTTTTGTTAATTTCGCCATGTTTTTACAATTTAAAAACTTGTTTCGTTATTCTATTTGCTGTATCTAATATCTATCCTGTCTGTATTATTGCCGCGTAGCCCTGCGGATGGGTGGGCGTTGTTGGTGGAGTTGGGTGGCTAGTATGTGGGCAAATGTTCTCCTCCTTAACCTCCTGATGGAATGGGCACCTTGAAGGTTGCTGGCGAGCCTATTGGCGTGCGTGGCTAGCCGGTTGTTCTAGAGGGCGCAGTGGGTCCTTATTTTCTCTTCAACCCAGGGGATCCTCAGGTCTCTGTGTAGAACGCTGTTGCGCACGTAAAATGGGGCTCCTGCCATCCTGCGCAGAGTTATGTTTTGGAGAGATTGAACTCTTTTTCTGTTGGATGGAGCAGCCAAGTCCCAGATCTGTATGGCATATCGCCAGATGGGTGCCACAGTTTGTAAATACACAAGCCGTTTACTTCCAAGGGAAAGTTTGCTGCGGTGGTTGAGGAGCCAATTTAACTTGGTCAGCTTATTTCGACAGCGTTGCACAGCTCCCTTAATGTGGCTGGCGAAAGTGAGGCGCTTGTCAAGGGTGACGCCCAGGTATTTTGTTTCACTTTCTTGGGTAAGCGTTAGTCCGTTTAACCTCAGCGCTGGCGGTACTCCTCTTCTAATTGTGAAGCACACGGTGGTGCTTTTGGCAGGGCTTAGTTTGACGTTCCAGCGTCGAGCTCAGCTGCTAAGGAGGTCCAGATAGTCCTGCGCAGCATCTGCAGCAACAACTGGGGACCTGGCGCTGACCATTGCGCAGAGGTCGTCGGCATATGAGGCCATTAGAAGTTAGCGCGAAGGCAGACCGAGGGCATGGGCGTGTGGAGAAGAGCGAAAATAGAAGTGGCCCTTGCGGGACGCCAGCTTGGATGTAATGTGTGGGGGACTGCTCCGCCCTAACTTTCACCCTGAAAGAACGACCCTCCAAGTAGGATCGGATCAGGGTGAAGTAGGGCGAGGGCAGTCCGCGTTTTAGTTTTGCCAGTAACCCTAGGTGCCAGATACGGTCGAATGCCTGGCTGACATCGACAAAAGTCGCCACACAGTACAATTTTTTGTCAAATGCCTCCATAACGTGGTGGATGACCCTATGTAGCTGCTCCGTGGTTCCGTGCCCAGCGCGAAAGCCAAACTGGTGGCCAGGAATTAGGTGCCGTGACTCTGCAAAGGACCACTGAATCTCAACGCAAAATAATTTTATGTGTGCATAAGCAAGGTAAATCTTATGCTGAGATGGGTGAAATTATGGAAAGAAGTCGTTTTAGGATTCGCAGCATTATACAACCATTTGAAGGATCGCAAAACCTTGAAAACTATGCGCGACAAGGCCACCCTTGGATTTTAAGTGACCGCGAACGGAGCGATATAGTGCGTAAAATTAAAAGGAATCCAAAAATAACATCTACACATATAACTGCTGAGGTTCAAAATGATTTTGGAAAAGAAGTACACCCAATGACTATCAGAAGGGTACTGCATGAGGCCAACTACAATGCACGAGTTGCTAGATGTAAGCCACTTGTTTTCTCTGCCAATTAAATTAAACGTTTGGAGTACGCAAAGAAGTATAAAACTTAGCCATCCGTTTCTGGGATGAAGTACTGTTTAATGATGAAAGCAAATTTAATATTTTCGCTCAGATGGCAAAATTAAAAAAAAAAAAAAAAACCGCGAAAACAGTAAAGCCGAAAACCTTAACTTACCATCAAACTTTATTTTTCAACACGACAACGATCCCAAGCATTCGGCCAACGATGTTGAAATGTGGCTGGCATATAACACGGCACATATTTGCAACATCCGCCACAATCTCCTGATCTAAACCCAATTGAACTTTTATGGGAGTAACTGGATAGGAGGGTAAAAAAGGACGATTACCAACAAAAGTCAGCTGCAAACAGTTTTATTATAAAAATGGCCAAATATCGTGGCGGAAACGACCAGAAAATTTGTTCATTCTATGCCAAAACGTTTAGACGGTGTTATAAAAAAGAAAGGCTTGCCTACCAAATATTAGTTAAGTTTCATAAATAATCTTTATGTTTTATAATTATGTGTGCCAATACTTTTGTGCCAGGAAAATGTTACATTTTTTATTTAAATAATTTAATAAAATTACCATTATGATTTTGTTACAAAACTTGTAACTGATTTTTGTAGGAAATGAACTGGTTTATACAGGAAAATTAGTTTAGATAGATTTTTGTTACCAAAAACGGACGCAAAATGGGTGCAAAGTAGAGAATGCTTACTGTGCCAGTACTTATTTGTGTGTCTCTTCATATTTTGTATTTTACATGTGTATTCTTGGTGAGGGTGCTCTTGTGCTGGCTCGTTAACATATACATTTTTTTAGAGTGATCATGCGCACACTATTAAACACATTTGTATTAGTATGTATTAGCATATATAAACGTTTTTGTTCTTGTAAATATGCCAAGATTTAATATTTTATGGTCTTGTTTATAGCGGTTTTGGATTCCACTATTGCTATTGAGCCTATATTATCTTCAGCACCCCTTTAGACTCGTAACTTGCGTATACATATATGAATAAGTCAGTATGCGTAATTTGAAGATCACTATATAATTTAAGCCATCTTCGGCTCATTGGAGATTGCATACTCTGCATAGTTTTGCAGTAATTTCATATTTTGCGTCATACGACGACTTGAACTTCTTAATATGACTGACAGTCAAGAGAACATTATCAAATGATAATGCACATGTTCAAGGCAGGTTTTCAGAAAGGGGGCCGACATAATTTTCACTTTATTGTTCTTTGTCTATTTATTTAAGGATAAATTCGCCTTAGATTTTTCCCAAAGTATTATCTGTTTAATCTATCTTCTCCAATCTTTTAAGAATCAACGTCTTAATATAGCTTTAACATCAAAATAGATTAAAAATACCATTTAGACGGGATTCAGGTATAGTAGTTTTTAGCCATGACTTAACTCATCATAATGTTTTGAATAAATGTTCCACAGTTGCGGTTCAGCAGAGTTTTGCGGCAAAATTTGTAGTGCCGTTTTTTAAGGATTAAATTCATATTCAACCAAATTAACCATTTATTATTATAAATGGATACTGGATACAATGCAGCTAGAGATAATGCTACATTATTTTCCTCAAAAAATGTATGAGTATTAAAACGTATTATATTATGTAATCAAGGTTTGGCACAAAAATAGCTCACTGAAAATAAAATGATATAACTGGAAATTGTGGATTCGTATTATTATTTTATTATCTTCAATTCTTTGCGTAGTTAAAACAATGTTTTTGATTTATTAGCGTCTTTTAATAAATACATCTACAGTAGTGTAGAGCGTGTGAACGTGGAACAAACATACTCTTACCAGCAGCGCTTTAAAGCTGAGATTCTTCATATCTTTCTCTTGTGGCAGCATTTCTTTTAACACTTAGTTTTTCCAAAGCATTCATCATTTCAACGTAACTTTGTTTGAAATCACTGATGCTCGATTCACATTAATTAATCGGATTTGGCGGAAACATTTAAATTTTAATATAACTTACATAGATCTATATTTTGAACGGAGACGCTTCATTAATACGCTGCATGTATTTATATCAAATGATGAATGCCACAGCTATTCAAAAACGTAAGAGTGCTCTAATCGAGTGCCTGCTACGGAATATCCTTAACCTTCTAGTAAAAATAGCCACACGTTTTCTCTAATAACTTCTGAGCTACTCAATCGATCTTGAGATAATTTTCTGCAGTAGATAATAATGTACTATAGACTATTCGCATTTTATAGAACAGCCATCAGCATCTATATTTTGAACGGAGACGCTTCATTAATACGCTGCATGTATTTGTATCAAATGATGAATGCCACAGCTATTCAAAAATGTAAGAGTGCTCTAATCGAGTGCCTGCTACGGAATATCCTTAACCTTCTAGTAAAAATAGCCACACGTTTTCTCTAATAACTTCTGCGCTACTCAATCGATCTTGAGATAATTTTCTGCAGTAGATAATAATGTACTATAGACTATTCGCATTTTATAGAACAGCCATCAGCATTAAAATTGTGGCTTAAATTGGTGAGTATTTCTAATAGATGTTTTGATTTGATTTATAGCGATGGGACATGGCAGGGGGTGACGGTGGCCATAAAATATAAGATACTTGATCCCTTTATACTATTCTAGAAGCTAAATATCAAATTTCGCTCTTAAGACCGATGAGAATTCTTTAATAAACAGGACTCCGATATCGATTGCTTGATAACGGGATAAGCTATTATTCAGCTGACATTCAGCGCGAACATGAACGAGATTGAGTATATTTCATGTGCTGGCCGTTGACCGGCCGTAGTGCACAGTTGTCGTCTTCTGCCGGCAAGTGTCGTAACAAGGTTGCGACGGCATGTTAACTCCTCCCCCAGTTGAGTAAACGTCGTCCTCATGCTTCCGTAAGACCGCTTATAGATCTTTATCAATTTAGTCTGCCGTTTGAGTTTTAAACGTAAGTACATCAAATGAATTACGCATACATACATGAAGATCAGCGACAGGGTCCTACTGCTGCTTATAATTGGCTGCCGATTCGTCAGCGTCAGTTCTTAAAATAAAAGGTGCATAACGAAAAAACTGGAGCAGGTAAACAAAGGAAGCAAAAACATAGAATATTAAGTAGTGGATAGGATATAGGATGGGTTAAGTCGAACAGGCGCCTTGCAAATAAGTTAACCCTACTATGCACAGAAGGCATGGTAGAAGAAGACCAAAATTAGACAGTTCTTATTAAAGGGAGTTGGTCCATAGGGATAACATTAGGTAAGATTAATATATTTATAAATTTTTTATACAGATAACGAAGCTCGCAAGCTTTCTGTATCTGCAGTCTGGTGTGTAAGTTCTCTGTGCATACATTTTGTGTCCGATAATAGATTTCTAAGTACCTATAAATTCTTTTTATTCTTGTCAAATTTCTTCGTGACTACTGTCAATGTTTTCTTCATGCTGCTCCTAACTGCAAGACTTAAAATTAAGAACTGTGCGGTGGTGCGATAATGAAATGGTTGGGTGTTGACAGTGTTACCCACTAGGTGTTGGGGCTGACATGTTTATACCCTAAATGCATTGAAAATCGCTAAAAAGTTGGTTTTGTATCATGGTTTTGTGTAAATGTATGTAACAGGCAGAAGGAAGCCCCTCCGATCCCATAAAGTATATACATTCTTGGCCAACATCAATAATCAAGTCGAACTTGTTCTATCCGTATGTTGAACGGAGGTGAATCCTTCGCAGTTTGTTTCCGATAGTCGACAACTTCCCCGATTCCAAGCAATCGATAAGAATCGATATCGAAACCCTGTGTTTTGAGAAAATTTCTTAGATTTTAAGAGCTAGAGTCACCAAGTTTGACATGAAGCTTCACGAATAGTATATATATATATATATATATATATCGAGTATCTTTCATTTTATAGGTATCGCCACCCTCACCGCTCTCACCCCATAACTATTAATCAAATATATAAACCAATTTGATCTACACACCAATTTAAGCCACAATTTGAAATTTTCTTTTAGAGAATATTAGAATATTTTGTAGCACAATAAAATCTACTGCTAAAAATTTCATCAAATATTCTATAGTACAATAAGATCTTCTGTTAAAAAATTTCATCAAAATCGGTTAAGAACATATATGATATTAAAGAAAACGTGTTTCGGCTGACCTCTTGCGGCAGCTAGCGCAAATTGCAAGAATTTAAGTATTGAATTCTATCAACTGTGACGGAGGGTCACAATGGCTTTAAATTAATTATATTATCTAAATATGAATACTAGAAAATAAGACATGGAATTATCAAAGTTAGCTTACCAATTTTATTATTATTAAGTTAAGAAAACGAAATGAATATAGGAAGTCGATTATAGTTTAGACATAATTAAAAACAACTCTAACTCCTAAAATGTTAACAGAAGGAGCAGACGAGAGAACAACCTAAACAAAGAGAGTTTTTGCCGCACGGCGAAAGGGCGAGAAAAGGGTCGTAAGAATCTGAGGCCGATCAGCGACTTCACTTTGATTTTGGCGAGCGTGAGTATCAGACGTGCGAACATAGCGACAAAAGAGAGACTTAGTGAAACCGCGAGGCAGCTGTGGGGTTAGGGAAAAGTAGTCAAGAACTGACGGTGCAGCAGGGCCAAAGAATTTTGTATCATAAATAGGAGCAATTGTACATAAAGTATTTTGGTGTTTATATTTCGTTTGTCAATAATTCGGCGATCGCGGCTGAATGGGAACTGTTTATTTTCAGCCACTTGTTCTGCGGCGGAGCGATCCCAGCAGCACCCATCACGCTGACCTACCATAACCCTAGCCGCGGCGCAGAGATCCCAGCGGTTCCTTTCCCTTGTCCCATAAAATGTATCACTCTTTGGCGGAGCGATACATACAGCTCTCTACACCCCTCTCAGCATCGCGTCTCGGCAAATTACAAATTTCTTGTAGTGAGATTGAGTTATAAAACCCCGGCTAGAACACTACTTTACACAACAACATTGCCATTGCGATTGTATTGTTTTCTGATATTTTAATGCTTTTTTTTCTCATTAAGACTCAATATGCGAGCTCGAATTCTATTACTGCCAAAGCAAACGAGCGCGTAGCACGAGCTTCATTTGGTGTTGGAAGAAGAGGGTCCAGGCTATCTCCTAGTCGGGAACACGCATCTAGAGATCTTCCCCTAGTCGGGCACTCCCGAATAATGCACTATTGCAAGTTGTTGTTTTACGTTTTTTCAGAGGCGAGCCTGATTTTTCGAAGCTAATTTCCACTTGTATAAAGTTGTACGGTTCCATTTAAATTAAAATCATTTGTTTGCAACTACATATATCATTTTGAATTAAGAAAATTAGGATATTTGGTGCTGTATTTATTACGGCTTTTTCAATTTAAGTTTCAGGAAAAACTCGAAACATTAGTATATATTACCTGGCCCCGAACACTCCGCCACTCCGGTGGTGCGCTTTCCTGTGACTGTCTTGAGTGAAAGTGCGACATCGGGCAGATTTGCTGAATTAGTAATGTTAAAGCCATCGATTTAAATAATTAATATATTCAACAACGCTTATTAATAAATTTATGTAAGCTCGCTTGAATAATTATGAAGCCGCGACAGCTCTTCAGCGCCCAATCAGTAAGCACGTGTACGAGATCGAATTTCTTTGACGCGCTGGCAGTAAATAGTTTATAATCGGATTCTTCTGCCGGCAAATTTCGAAACAAGGGTGCTGTTACCTACTTGGACTAGGTTGGACTAGCTGGTGATAACTTATATAAAAGTGCAATGAGTTGTAATAAAATGATAGTGCAACCTTGTAATTTAGTTAACATTGTTAGTATTCGATATATATTATCTGTATAATATCTGTGTAGTCATCTATTTTAACAGTATCTGGATATACATATATATGTAAATATATAACTACCAAGCAAAACTAATACAACAATTTTATAGCCTTATTTCACCGTCCACATATCTAATGTGACATTTTCAAAAATGTGTAAAATGTAAAATGTACGTTTTTCCATAAGCCAACACATTTTACACCTTTTCCCAAAATGTCACATTTTTAAAAAATGTGTAAATTCGCCGTGAAAATTTCGTGTTTTTTGCGATGATTTATCGAATTTCATATCGGTGTTATGAAAAATTTGAAAGTATCATTACTAAACACAGCTGTTGTAGCAGCAAAGGCAAGCGGTAACTTTAAATTATAATTTTAAATTTGAGTAATCCCACAGTTGTTAACATTTAAAGTTGCCCAAATCCTGCAGAGTCCATTAAATGGAGCCCCTACTTCGGGGCCGTATTATTTGACTTTTCAAAGGAAAAATTTGCGGCGCTTAGGTAAATCAAATCAAATTGATCAGCTGTTTGTTTAAAGAAGAATAGTGGAAAAAGCAAAGACAATATAAACACTAAGATGAGTAACGCCATACAACAAAATACTACTATGCATTTTTGAAATTTGAGAACGAAAACGAAATCAGTATCATTGCGCTCTCACAGCCGAAAGAGCGAAAAGCTAAAAATAGAATGTATTCTGCGCTTCGGCTCTATGAGAGCCGTGCAAGCAATTATGTTTGTATGTGTGTTAATATACATTTATATCAGCATATTTAAATGTGTTGTTATTCACTCTGGCTTTAGCTGGCAAAGAAATCAATTTTGTTC